GAAAGAACTACAGTCGAACTGTTATAACAACAACAACTGCTGGGCTATTTAAAATGGTTAGTTGGTTGGTATCAAGTACTTTATACAATTTATGCCTGACAGCTGTCATTTATGAAAATTTATTATTTGTATTTATTAAGTTGTTGTGGTTGTTATATATTATTATTATTACTGTTGTTCTTACTGTTTTTTCAACAGACCAATATATACAGCAAAAGTTTGTTATTATTTATTCTCAGTGTAGAGAGGAACTTACACACAGAGACAGACAGACACTAAAAATAAATATGAATGAATGTTTAAAAAGCCTTCAGGATATGTAAACAATTTCTGTAAAATATAAGATAAAAACTGAAACATAAAACTTTAAATGAAACAGCAAAAAACAACAGCAACAACAACAACTAAAATAAAGTAACAGAGATATAAAAGTTTACTTTTTGATTATTATTTACAACATGTTCCTCTCCTCTGTGCTCTTCCATACACAAATATTTATACATAAATTTTGTACAAACAATTGTAATGTCAATTACTTATGAGAAATAGTTGCAACAGAATGAAAAAAGTTTGCAAATGTTAATTATGAAAAATAAATATTTAAATAAAATTATTTTAATTAAATTTCTAACAAAATTTTTGGAATGTTTAATTATAATATGTACTAATAAAATTGTTTTTAAAAACATTTTCCCCAAATCTTGTCGAAAAACTTTCAACTGACTACACTTTACATTATTTGGGAAAATAAAATGATATGTGACTTCAGGTTAGATTACATTCGTATCTGGACCCAGATATTCTCCATCACATTTGGGATATCGTGAAAGTTCATTCTATCATCTTTAAACTAAAGGCTTAACATCTGACATATCTTCTTGTTTCTTCGAGATATCTTTTCTTATAAATAAAGTTGTCTTGACGATGTTATAACTCCTCAAAAATTATGTTTTTCAAACTTCAGGACAGGATATCTCAAATCCCAGATATGATGGAGAAAATCTGAAGTCAGATTCGGATTCGCCTTTAGAAAAGTATAACATGGTCCTAGGGTTTCGACTTTTTTCGAAGTTTATCGGCCTGTGTAATTAATCGAATTCTCTGGGTGTTAAAAATATAAAAATTAAAGTCTGCCAAGTTTTACAGTTAAGTAAGCTGACAAAGAACTAGTAACATAACTAGTTACTTTACTGTAGTAAAGTTTTAAAATTAACTTATGAGAAAAACCAGATCTTTTAATATAAAAGAAACAATTTAATATTTTCTCAGACATTATTAATAAAGTAATGTTTATTTAAAATTTAATTTTAATTATTTGTTCTATTTATTTTCCTTTTTATTTCACAAACGAGAAAAACTTAATGAAATGTAATCAAAAAATTAAGCTACAAATTGTCAGCTGTCATTGTCAAAGTAACGATTTGTCAACAATAATATTTACATTCACTTCAAAGTCCCAAAAAGAAAACAAAAAAAAAAATACTACATAAAAATGTTTATTGATTTATAACCGCCAACAAAATAAATACTAAATGCCAAATATTGTTGTAAAATATGTTTTTGGCATAAAAATTCTATAATATATTTTTTTTTAAATTCTAATTATTATTTGTTATAAATATTTTTTTTTTTGTGGAAAATCAAAAAAAAAAAAAGAAAACTTTGTTAAAGTTTATTTACTTAAATTTTAATTGAAAAAGTTTAAAACAACTTTTTTTCAGATTTTGCTTGTGGTTTATTTATTTCCTCGTTATTTTTTTTTTAGTTAAACAAAATTAAAATTACACAACTTTGCTGCAAAAATTGTGGCAGGGGGAGAGAGAGAGAGTTAGACTTTTCAATTTTAAGTTTAAATGAATTATAATAATGTTGAAAATTAAATTTTTAATTACAGTACATATGTAGTTTGTAATAAATTTCAAAAAGGGGTTCGGGTTGCAAGGAGCTATAGATAAATAACGATGGACATAAAGCTCTCTCAGAAATTATCTTGCATTCTCACGTGCGTATGCTCTTAAACTAGTCTTTGCCAATAACAGATCTAAAATAAAATTTTGAGACAACTTTCTCTTTGTAATAAAATAAACAAATTAGTTTGTCTTATTGCTACACTCAAAAATGTATAGCTTTTTTGCAATACTTATTGATTTTATAAAGTAATACAATATATATATTCAGAGAATCTAAACAATCTAAAGGTATTGACTACACAGAGGGAAAAAACCCGATAGAAAAGTACCGAAATTGATACAATCCGTTGTCAAAAGTGAGCTTACCACGTTTGTTAACATTTAGACAATGGATGTGTATAAAATTTAAATAACATCCAGTTATCATTTTGACAACCACCGTTGTAATTTTGACAAGGCATCGTTGTCATTGCAACTACGCATTGTTGTCATTTCGATTACGCTTTGTGTCATTTCGGCAATGCATCGTAGTGATTTCGACAACGAATCGTTGTCATTTCGACAAAGCAACGTTCTGTTTGACAACATAGCGTTGTCATTTTGGTAACACAATATTATTTTTTTGTTGATTTGATAACATAGTGTATTTTTTATATTTTTGTTGTTTGTTTGACAACTATCCGTACATACTTGTTTTTTTGACAACTATCCATACATACTTTGACAACGGATGTTATTGAAAAATTATAAACATTTTGGTGTCAATTTGTTACCAGGCGTGTATAATTTTAAAACATCTTTTTCCCCTCTGTCTACGTTCAGTTCTATAACTAATTATTTGGATGCCTACCTTTGGACTGTAAAACTTATTCGTACTTTTGTTAATATTCCTTGATTTTCTTAAAATATATATGCAATTATTGTCTTGCGTTATAATTTATATTTTTCATATTTTTTCTCCGACTATTTTATGTTGTAGAGATTTTCTTTGTTAGTAAAACAAACTCTCATATGCAAAATATACTCGAACGAACATTCCCGTACATATATTCATTAGTCAAACATAGTGCAAAAATTTAAATTTATGATGCTAATTTATGGCTCTTCTTATATATTTTTATGTGTTTTTTTTTTTTTTTTTTTGGTATTTTTTAAGATAACAACACAACAGCAACAACAATTTGCAACAGCTGCTGCTGCATTTTAGTATTCGTAACTAGAGAAATGTCTGCATATTTTGTTGTCGTAGTTGTAGACGAGCAGCTAAACTTCAAAAACACATATTCTTAAAAGTAATATTACCCGGTAGTTATGGGAGTTTGGCCCGTACTAAAGGTTTTAATTGCTTAAAGAATAACTCAAGAAAAATATATGCTTTTTAAAGAAAAAAAGAACAAAAATGTTATGATTTTACTATACATTACTTGACAGACTTACGGCCACAATCTCAATCTTCGGTTATCGTTTAACTGGTAAATATTCCATCGGTGATAATAATTTTTGTAAGAAAACTGTCAATATATCGATAAAGTGTTAATAAACTACTTGCTATATTACCGGTGATATATTAAGTAAACAATTGATTTCTCCTCACAATACAAAAAACACTTCAAAATCATATGAGTAATGAAAACTTGCTTAAAATTATTAGATTCAAGTAAAACTTAACTATATAAAACTACAACAAAAGAGCGGATCCAAGGGAAGGATTAAAATTTGTTTCCCTTCCAATTTATTAACTATTTCTAAAACTAAACAGTTTTTAAAAACAATATACAAAAATTAAGAAAATTACAATTTTCTTTTCTCCCTTATATCCTATTATTGTTTAGTAACAAAATTTCCTTCCTCCCTTATTCCTTTTCTTACTCCCCAGCCTTCCTGCTCTCAAGTAATATTGTAAAATCCTTATATCCCTGTTTAGATTTAATATTTTCCTTAGTGTTTTGTTTTTTTTTTTCAACATTTTCTTTAGTGTTGTAAAAATTTATTTTAATTGGCTTGATTTTTTTTCGTACTTATTTTCTTACTCTTTCCACATCTTGCAAATGTTTGTTGTTGTTTTTTTATTTTTTCGTATTTTTTATATATTTTTTTAACTATATTTATGGAGACTCCTTGTTATTGTTGTTGGTTTAGTGTTGTATGCATTATTAATAAAAATTGCAAAATAAAATAAGAAAAAAAATTAAAATTTATGGCTTTTTTATTTTGTATGCATAATATTCTTTAAACTTGATTTATGTGTTTTAATTTGTATACAATATTACTTATTTAGTTATTTATATTTTCTGTATAATTTTAATTAAAACTAAATGTATATAGAAACGAAAAACAAAAATCCGAAAGATATCAATAAAGTCAATGCAAAATTGTTTTAAATGCAGTTTTGAAACCCCCTTTTGTTTTGAAGTAATTTTAAAACGGCATAATAGCTTTATTTTTAACACTTTAAGTGCTGCCAAGTTCTACTTACCCTACAATAAGTCAAAAAAATCATCAATAGTACTCTCAACAAACTTCAAATTATTTACTACAAATAATATCCTATTACTAGTAATGCATTGGGTAATTAGACGCATTACTTTGTCATCGAACTAGTAATTAGTTGTAGGTAATAAAATTTTTTAGAAAAATTATGATAAAAATTGACACTACAACATACATATCTGTATTCATTAGGCAAAAATACGCCTCAATGACAACCACTAAACATTAAAATTTTCAAAAACATTTAACTGAAATTCCATATTGAAAACTCACCTTAATTACAATAAATATTATCTATATATTTTTCTATTTTACAATATTTACGATGTTAATTACGCACAAAATGCCAAGTTATTTATTAAATACTCTAAACCAAAGAGTAAAATTGTTTGTTTCTACCATATATTTATTTACATATGTTTAGAATACAGCAAAATGTTTATAATAATTATAGGAAAATATTTAAATTTAATTTCAAAATCAAAACAATAAAACCACACTATAATTTTTGAAAACACATACACACACACATGCACAACAGCATAAAATTCAAATTCTAAAATCTAATGAATTTCTATTGTTTGTTTATTTATTTTCCAGACGGGTCGTGGTCGTAAACCATCTGCTAAAGCTGCAAAATTAAATGCGGCCGCTGCTACAGCAACTGCGCATTCTCCACGTCAGGTTGCAAATTCAACGATTAGTCCAGTAGCTGCCACAACAGTGACGGCAACAGTAGTGCCACATCCCTCACCAAATACGAATACCAATAATAATACTAACAACAACAATAATAATAACAACAATACGGTGGTTGCTAATAATTTGTTGGTAAATAATACTCAACAGCAATTAAATACATTGCATCATCAACAACAGCAGCAACAGCAACAAACAAGTCAACAGCAGCAACATATACAGCAACAACAGCAAATACCAAATAATCAACAATTGCAACAGCAGCAACAACAACAGCATCTAACACAAACCTCTAATCAACATACTCAACAACAACAGCAGCAGCAACATCATTTAACTTCACTACATACTCAACAGCAACAACAACAACATCAACAATTAACGCAACAACAGCAGCAGCAACAACATCATCAACTTACTACTCATACTCAACCTCAACAACAGCAACAACAACAACAGTCTCTGCATCATCAGCAACAACAGCAGCAACAATCACAACAGCAACAACATCATCACCATCAACTTCAGCAACATCAAATAACCGCACAAATTCAAACCATGAAAGATCAACCTCAACAACCTATGGTAAGTTCAAAAATGAATCTTTATATTTGGATCTTATATATTTAAGATATATCCAGGTACTTGGTACCAAACTTTTTTCTATAAGTTGGCCCACAATAACAGGAATTTGTAAATATTTTGAAATTATTTCTTTCGGAACCAAATCCACACTGCATCAATTTTAAAGTTTGACCGAAACCGAACTTTGTTCCTATTTTCAAAGTTTGTTGAACCCAAACTTTTTGTAAATGTATTAAATGTTATACCTAGTCAAAATATTTTGAAAGTGGGTCTTTAATGATGCCTTGGGTCAATTATGGACTAAAGTCTTCCGAGTTTAAGAGAGTAATAAATTTCTAATTGCAAAACTTTTATCTTAATACTTTGATTTTTTGTTGGTTTCTGTTTATTAGGAACCGATTCTTAAGACAGTTTGGTCATTTTCTTAAGCGCTCCTTTTTTGGGTGCCATGTTTAAATATGAACCGATTTTGTCCATTTTCAAAGCCATTCAAACTATGTACACCAATAGGGAATATTTATTTCTTTATCTCCTCCCGTTTACTTAGATTCTATCATACTTCAAAACACAGACAGACAAACATGTCTAGATTGTTTTTTTTTATATTCTATAGACATCGTTTTTCTGTAAACCATATTATAGAACCTTAAAGGTTGCAAATTGTTCCCCAAATCGATACAATTAACTTGATTTTAATAATGAGACATAGTCTCCGGTTCGGTGTCTTAAAAATACAAATAGAATTAATAAATTTTACATAAAATATAAACTGAACCAAAATTTACCTAATTTTATATTAATCGGTTCATAATATACCCTCCACATAACCCCCCTTACAGAAAAATATTTTATTGTCAATAAGTCGTTTAAATATTTAGATATTAAAAGAAATTCAACAAAAATGACTTGATATTAGAAATCCAACACTCACTTAAATTCAGAAGCTTCGGTTCATAATTGACTCCAGTCCCCCTAAAGGACCCTATTATGAAAATCACTCTGATGTTCATATTAAAATTGATATATTTATGAAAAGGTTTGCATGGTGGGTATATAAGATTCAGAAATTAAAAAAACAGATATTATTTAAAATTTCACGAACCGTTAAATTCATCCAAATTTCTCAAAAACTAAATTTTGATTTCTTTCTTCCCTATATAAAGGAAAACTCTCTTTCATTTTCAACTGTGATTGTACCATTTCTCAAATTATGGTCACGGCCATTTTGTAAATTAGTCCGATATAAAAGATTTTTCCAAATACATTTAAAATGCAAATCCTTATCAAATTTGTTAATTCCCTGAGGAATTTAAATGAAATATGTTGAAGAGTACGTGTGTGTGTGTGTATAAAATGTATTTATTTAAATTTATATAGATTTCATATCTAAGCCCAACCAATTCAAATTATAAGAAAAAGAAAAATTATATACAATATATTATATACGAAATACAAGTCAGGTGATTATAATTTCCTGGAGGGTTGGCACTAATGTTCTTTACGAGGGTGGTGGTAATGTTGGAAATATATATTAAGAAGTGTATGTATGTGTGCTTTAAAATAATGGTGGTTAATGGCAGTAAAATAAATCTTAATGACAATTTAAATCCACCTTCTTTCCACTTTCTAACCATTTAAGTAGATGTTAAAAGATAAAGGAAATATAAATAAAAAAATATTTAAAATAATTCATGTAATAAAATAAATTTCTTTATATATTCATTTAGTTGTTATATAAACTTTTATGTTTTATTACTAACATTCATTTTTTTTTTTTAATATATTTATGCAGCTCATATTTGAGTAGCATCTGAAAAATTAAGGATTTTAAAGGTGAACATCTAACTTCTAACTAACTTCGTCGAAGTTAGATCCAAGTATCTTGGAAGTGATGTTATTCCGGAAATAACATTCCTGACTAACACTGATTGGAAGATTCTTAGGAATTACGTTCAGGAAACTGAGTTTCTGAACACTGAAAAATAATACATTCAGTTAATTTTTTTTTCATGATAAGGAGCGCACAACAGGCCCGATAGTGGCCTAGCTGTATTTCTAACCTAACCTAAAGGTGAACATACATTTGTATATGAAAGCCAATGTCTTGTAGAAATCTATAGGTAAATCTGAAAGTTTTTCTGAACCAAGATATTACTAAAAATTATCTCAAACTGTTATTGGTTTTCCTAGCAAATAAAATTTGAACTTTTTAAAATTTTAAACTGTAAATGTCTTACATAATTATAAACACGTGTTTCATACATAAACTTATAACCATAGATCCGCAATATATCACGATTTGACTAAATGAAGGAGGGTGAATTTTTTGTTTAAATTAAATTTTTACTTTTTCCATACGAACAGGGTGGGTAAATAAGTAATATTTTTAAAATTGTTAAAAATTTTTAGTATGATAATAGAAAATATATTACTATTATTATTAAAATAGCTCATTTAGCAATAATTATTTGTAGAAATATTGCAAATTAAATATTTATTATAATGATTATAATTATTTCTTGAAAACATGTAAATTTTTGCATACTTTTCTTGTGTTATTATTTTTTTAATATTTATACCAACAAGTATTTTATAAATTATAGATATTAAAATTTTGTATACTTATTATTTATGTCTGCATGTATTTACACATACATACATACTTGTGTATACTATATATATAAATATGTATGTATATGTAGCAACATATTGTTGCAATTACATTGAAAAAGTGTACTGCCTGAAGCAATAAATTTATAATTTATGTTGGTTGTACTAAAAAAAAAAGAAAAACAACACAAGAAAGAGAAAATTTTCTGGAAAACACTCAAAAAAGTGTGGCAGTTTTTTTTTAACAAGTATTTACATAAAATTTTTTCATATTCTAGGCACTTTTTTGTCTTCAAAAGTATAGTTTTTAACTACTATTGTAATAATTTACATATTTAAAAACGTTTTTTTTTTTATTACTAACATTTTTCCTTTGAGTGTATGTAAATAATTTATATGCTTTAAAATTATGTTTATTGTGTAGGAAACAAAAGAAAACAGCATTATCAGCCTTCATATTCTATATAATTTTGTTATTTCTTTCTTGATATTGGTAACAATATTTTATGGATTTTTAAGATTTATTAACAACAAACTATCGTAAAATATGAGAAAATCAATATGATAGAATATTTTCACACAAATAACAGTAATAAGATGAATCCCTTATATTGAAAATGTTGCGCAAAACTTGGTATTTAAAAAGAGAAATAACACCAAAGAGCAGTTATATCATGCGAATTCGCATTTCAAGCCGACTTCTTCAGTCAGTCTAATCAATATTTGTTTGTATTAATAAGTAAGTTCATTAGTCAATGTTCTAGTCCATTGACTAGACAATAGACTATTCTATGGAATAGACGGGAGACTAGTCTATAACTAGACAATTAACTAGTATATAGAGTTTTTCTACTAGTCCAAAGACTTCATAGAATAGTGCTTTTAATACTTTAAAGGTCTAGTTAAAAGTACTTTAAAGCTATAGATTAGTCATTAGACTAGTCAATAAATAAGATCATTTAGTCAATTCACTTGTTCTTAGACTAGTCAATAGATAGTCTATTGTCTTGCTATGGACTAGAGGATAGAGTAGTCTATAAACTAGACGAAAGACTAGTCTATAGATTAGACATTAGATTAGTTTATTGCCTTGTCCATAGAATTGTCCATATACTAGTCCAAAGACTACAATAGAAAAACGATCGAATAAAAAAATAATTATAAAAGGTCCTCTCTTTGTTGTCTGTTTACAAACTCTTCCAGGATTCTTTCCAATATCCACTTCCGACATTTAGTAAAAATTTGACCGAAGTCGGTAGATCTTTGAACTTTATGTTAAAAGTACAATTATTAAATTATCTTTTCAATAAGGGAATATATTTTGAAATTGTACAAAATAGATCATTGGTGTACAATAGTACTTTTGTGCCAAAACGGTACAATTGTACCAATTTTTCCAATGCTGGTAGAAAACAAACAAAATCGGCGAGAGTGCTTATTGTCACTCTCTGCGGATAATTGGTCTAAAGGAAGGTTAGGCAGGGAGTGACGAATAAGCTCTCTGACTGATTTTGTTGGCTTTTTATATATGTATGGACTTACACCAGGAATAGAGCTATCTTAAGAGCACTATTATTTTGCTTTTACGCCAATAAAATAATCTATGAAAGCTAATGAAATCAGTGGTAGTAAGGAAGAGAGGGAGAGAGTACATTGCCTACAAAGCCTACAATCATATAAAAAAGAACCAGGAAGCTAATTTATAAATCTCTGTTTATGCCCGATCTATAGATACCGGAGCTTATAATAATCAAATGATTAAATTCGTATTTGTTTAAAAAAGAATCAAATGATTCTCTAATTACAAAAAAGATATATTATCTTTGGCGATACAAAATTCGTTTGATTAAAAGAGTCTTCAGTCTAAAACTGTTCCCCAGAAAACTATGATAAACTAAAAATAAACACAGTTTTTTCTTCAACCAAAAAGCCTTAATATATTTTTAAAACAATGTATTAACAACTTTTTTTCCTTAATTTTCACACTTCGAAAATAAATTGAATAAAATAATTTATGCAATTTATTTAATTTTATTTTTTTTTTTCATATCTAACGGAAATTGCATGTTAACAAAATAAAACTTTCTCTTTTGTTGTATGCATAAATAATATAATAAACTTATACAATAAAAACAACAATAATACCAACAATTGCTAAATAAAAATAAAAAAATATATGTATACATTTCATAAATAAACAAATAAAAAATATTTTAGCACAATAATATTCGCAATCTACCACGAATTTCATTGATAAAAATATTTTAGTTGAATGTATATAATTTGTTATAACAAATCGTCATCAGATGATGATGACGTTTAAATTCAAACAAATAATTTAAAAACAACTAAAATATAAAAACAAAATTTCACACATACCACACAAAAACAAACTGCAAAATCACACATACATACATAAAATTCAAATAAAACAAAAAAGTTCATTCAGTTTAAAATTTTTTGAATGAAATGCTGATGAACGTAAAATTAAATTTTTCAAAATAATAAAAAAAAAACACACACACACAACGTATTTATGTGTAGGTACATACATGTGTTTCCTCAATGAAATATCAATAACTTTTATGACGTAAATAATTTTTATTTCCTTTATTGCAAAAACAAATTTGTAAATATTTCGAAATACTTTTCGCATAAATTATAAAGATATTTTTTATTAAATTGAAAAAAGTATGTATGTATGTATGTTTACATCGTAAAATTTTAATTAATTTTTATTTACTTACTTTCACACACAACACGCACACACATTTTTGAAACTAAATATTCAAATATTTGCAGCACCCCATTTCGAAATACATACATACATATGTATGTATACACAGCACACGTGAATTAAAAAAATCTAATTTGCATAAAAATGCCTAAATACAAGATAATTTATTGTGAAATTTTTCCGAAAATCAGTTAAGACTCATTTGTTTTGTATGCTTTAAAATAAAATTCAAAAAAAAGTAAATTCCGAAATCATATAATAAACATCCCTCTCCAATATGTAAACAAAAGAAAAGGGGTTGTAGGGGTTGATTTTTATTTTCGAAAAAACTAATATTTCAATAAAAATTTTGATTATACGATACACATATTGAGGATTTCAGTACAAAACTAGTTTGCCAGCAATTTGTATGACCATATGTTAGAAAATCTTCCTCTATCATAAATCAAACTCTCAGTTAAAAGCATTAAAGTATTAATTTACCTTAAAAGTATGCTCACAAAAAATCAACTTTTAATATTTTATTATTCTTTTGTTATTTTTTTTAGGCACCCATGGCCTTTTATCCCACATGGCAAGCTGATCCTTCACAGGGTTGGCAAAATCAATTCATCCAACAGATACCACAGAATACACCAACCATTACATCGCTCAACTCGTTGGACTTTCAGACACAATCATACGGTTATCCATCAAATGGATATGTACAGACTGGTCTAGGATTTGATCCCAACTATGGTCGCTCGCCCTATGGAGCGCCCGTACAGCGTTATGATTTCCAGAGTCAACAACTATCCAGTGCACCTATAAACCAGGTCGGTTTACAGGGTGTAGGATTCGGGCCGGCCGCAGTAACGTATGCCGGCCAGGTATCAACCACACCTGCAGCACCTTCTGCGGTGGGTCTACAGCAACAGCAACATTTGGGCAGTGTTTCAGATCTCAATAAAACGATGTCGGGAAACGACACGCCTGGATATCCACGGGTGAGCAGCGTGCCGCCGCGCTCACTCAATTGTAACGGATATTCAGGCGACTATAGCGGCAGTCCTCAGCAGACTTCAAATTCTAATAGCAACAGCAATACAAATGCAGCTGCTCATGCCACCGTTGCAGCAAATAACTCCACTTCATCCTCAGCGTTATCGGCATCCGCCACAGGTCACAATGGAGGTCAAACTATTGCTCATAACACATCGGTTTCACAACCGGCAGCTTCTCCCATGTTGGCTCCAAACAATCAAACTGTGCCACCCTCCCCCACACGCAGTGTCATGCAACAGCCTCAGTCTCAGCCGATGACACAACAGCCACGCCATGTTTCTCAGTCACCCAATCAGATTCCACAATCACCTAATGCCAATATGCCATTAACGCAACAACAACAACAACAGCAACAGTATGGTGGCACAACCATACCTGCTGCTCCTCATCATAGCGTGGCCAGCATGCAATCCCAGCAGCAAACTCATGCTAATATTGCTTCTCCACCCCAACACCCCCAACCCATGCAACAAGACTGGAATTGGAATAGCCAATCACAGGCGGCCAATGATCCGTATCAACAGACCACTGGTCCTGGTGGAGAACGTTTAAATCTCAATACTCGCATTAAATCCATGATTATGCGTAAAAACGATCCAAAAGATCCGCTTTCTGGTACGGCACCACCCGATATACATGGTATGTCCGGGGCACCACCTCCACCCTTGAGTGGACTCAACGCCCCAAATGCCAACCAGCAACAACAACAGACCGGTCATTTTTTATCGTATAGCCACCATCTCCGAAGCGATTCAGTAATGAACGCCAATGGTTCGAATGGTACTAGTGGACCTTCGGCTAGCCAGCAAACACAATCAGGTCTGGCAGCAGGAGGCTCACTGGCAACTGAACCAATCGGAGGTGGTGGCGACCAAATTTGGAAACCACACCACGCAAACTCTTTTAAGAAACCCGTGGTATCTGGTTTTCCAACTGCGGAACCTCATCATCATAATCATCATCCACACCACCAGCAACAACAACATCAACAACAACCCATTGTCCAAACACCTCCACAACATACTACGACCGCTCATAGTGAACCAAAAAAGTCCCGAAGTAGAAGTAAAAAGTCGTCATCATCCTCTGCCTCAGCGACAGCATCAGCTACAGCCGCCGCAGCTACCGCCGCCTCCAATAACAATCATGCAAATGCCGATAATGCAGACATTGATAAAAATAGTCATGATCCTGGAGGTGGTCATCATCTGGCCCATTTGGCAAATATTAAGTTAGAAAAGAATGCTCCCTATCCACCTCCACCCTCGCATTATCCACCACAGCATCCGGATTATCACCATACACCGTATATTAAAACTGAACCCGGCTTAATACCGGGTCAACACAATAAAATGGAGGGTTACGAACGCAACTACCAGAACTTTGTGCAATATGCCGACTTTTGTCAAAATGAAGTTCAAGGTCAGCCCAATTCCGGATCCCAATCCGGAATGCCTCAACAACCTCCACATCCACATCATCAAAGCCAACAGGATTATGCAGCGGCAGGCTATCACCCCAATACCGGTTACTATGGCACATCATCGAGTTTTCAGCAGAACTATCAACAAAATTTCGTCCCCAATTATCAACATTCAGCCTCATCTTTTGGCAATGCCCATGGTATGCATCCACATGCAAACGCCATGACCCACAGTCATACAAAATCAATGAACGGCCCTTTAGCTAAACACCATACCTCCAGCCTTCACCATCACAACAGTCATATGATGGATGTGGATCGTAAACCAGAAACCAATAGCATTATACCGTTGCCAACCAACTATGAAAAGGACATACCAGCTCATGCCTATCCCATACCACCGCATCGGTACCCGCTGGGACATGCGCCTCTCCATGGTCACCTAGGTCCTGGTTTATTGGAGCCTAAAATTGAGAATATCGATAGTGGTTATGGTGCTACTGCTTACCCTTTTCACGGTGAAGGAGGTCCAGCAGCTATTAAAAATAGTACTGGATTCTCCTGTTGTCGTCAAGGTGGCACACGTGCTCCCACTGCAGAACATCTGAAAGATGGTTCCTGCACGGGCATGCAAACCAAAGACGAGATTATAATGGAAGAAGAAGAGGCACAGGCGGCCAACCAGAATGGTGCTAAACCAAAGAAAAAGAACATAAAGCAAGAGGAGAGCAACGAAATCGTTGTTAAACATGAAAAAATCAACCCTCTTTTCGATACTTCGGATCGTTTGGAAAAGGGAAATAAAACAGAGGTTCCGGAATGTGATTGTTTTCAATCTGACAAAAGTCCACCCGAACCTGGTACATACTACACTCATCTTGGTAAGTAAAATAATTATTATTTTTTCTTGGGAATCATGTCATCTAAATAAGTTGTACATTTATTTAGGTACTGCTTCAAATTTGGCGGATTTGCGAAGAGAATTCGAAGAAAGAACCCAAGTTTCGGGTCGTCAGTTGCGTATTGAAAAGATATTGTACAGTGGTAAAGAAGGCAAAACTTCTACAGGTTGCCCATTAGCCAAATGGGTAATACGAAGAGCAGATCCCGAAGAAAAGATTCTAGTCGTTGTTAAAAAGCGTCCTGGTCATAGGTGAGTATTGAAACTAAATTTATATCAAAATTCTAAACAACAGAGAGTTGTAATATGATTTTTGTTCATTCTATAGATGCATAGCTGCCTACGTTGTAGTGTGTATGGTTGTTTGGGATGGTATGCCCCGTTTAGAGGCAGACAATGCTTATAAGAATCTTATACCAAAACTTAACAAGTTTGGCTTGCCCACAACACGTCGCTGTGCCACTAATGAAAATCGAACATGCGCATGTCAAGGTGAGTAGAATGTTGCTCAGAATTTTATAAGTACGATTTATAAATTTCTAAATCCAATATCTAGGTCTTGATCCCGAGTCATCCGGTGCATCTTATAGCTTTGGCTGTTCATGGTCCATGTACTACAATGGTTGTAAATATGCACGTTCCAAAACGGTACGAAAGTTCCGCCTTTCGGTCAAGAGCGAAGAATCTGCCATTGAAGAGCACATGAATATGTTGGCCACGATTTTAGCCCCGATGTTTAAACAAATGTGTCCACGTTCCTATGACAATCAAACACGTTATGAGAAAGAAGCACAAGACTGCCGTCTTGGCAACAAGGAAGGAAAGCCATTTTCAGGTGTTAGCGCATGTTTGGACTTTTGTGCCCACGCCCACCGGGACTTGCATAATATGCAAGATGGATGCACGGTCCAAGTGGCATTACTGAAGCCATCAAATCGTGATGTTGCCAATCCAGACGATGAGCAGCTTCATGTCTTGCCTCTATATACAATGGATACTACTGATGAATTCGAAACAATTGAAGGGCAGCGAGACAAACATCGAACTGGTGCAGTTCAAGTACTGGACAAGTGAGTGTAGTGTTGACATTTCATGTTATAAATTTATATCATTAGACTTGAATGAATCTTCACACGGATCAACATCATTAAATTATTCTTTAATGTTTTTCTTTTAGATTCCCCTGTGAAGTGCGTGTTCGTTCCACACCTCTTATACCTTGTCGTAGACATGGCAAAAAACGTAAAGAGGACGAGACAACACCATCAGAAGCTGAAAATAATGCGGCTACACCTGCTCCTGCTCCAACAACAGATGGCAGTGGTAATGCTCAAACGACTCCAAATGGCTCAACACAAGTTGCAGCTAAAAAAGACTCCAACGGTAGCTCAACAAACACTAATGCGAATACAGGCGCCAACAACAGCCCAACTGCAGCGACTACAGCTACAGCCCCGGCTTCAAAATCAAAATCGAAGGCAAAAACGCAACAGTCAACGACTACAGCAACATCTGTACCGCCCACAACACCATCACCTCGTTGTCAAACTCCAGTCACAAATAATCCCAGCCCTGCAGGCAGTGCATTCACGACACCGCCCGTTAGCAACAATAACAATCATTCCAATTCCTCAGCCAGTAACGGCAGTACTTCTGGAGGTAACAACAATCAACTTATGTCGTCCAATTCCAGTCTAATGAATATGGCGACTATGATTGATACATTCACAGATGCCCAACTTCAATCGAATCAAATTTCGAGCACGGTTTTGGATTCGCCCTACTCCTACGACTATCAAACCGGTTCCTATATAGACTCGCGGAACTACTACGGAAACTGGCCTCCACCACCGCATCCGCACAATCCACATGCTCCTTCGCATACGGTGACACCCATGGGAGCAACAGCACCTATTGGTCCGCCTACAGCTCCAGCAACACCAAATGTAAATGTTAATGCCATGGCGAACCTGACAACCCCCAGTGGTGGCGGTCATCAGACACAGACTTCTCAACATTCAACTGGTCCAGCACAAATCGAGGGCAATGGTTATAACACTGGGTGCTATAACAATTTACCGACTGCAGGCAGCCAACAATTGACCCAGGTCCATGACGTACGCGGAGAGGTTAAAAGTCGAGGCAGCGAAGAGAACCCCGATTCCACCACATTAGTCAACAATAGCTTAGCGGCAGAAAGTAAGTTAACTACTCTTACTCCTATGACACCAATGACTAATCTAACGACTCAACATCATCCTCATGCTCCTCCTCCACCTCATCACCCCCATGCGTCACCACTTGAAGAAGGTTTTGTCAAGCCAAAGCCACCGACTGAATACTCTCAGTACTCCCAGTATCCAAACAATTATCAGATGTATCCACCACCTCATTCTGCATATTCAGCTTACGATGCCTACCAGAATATGAACTACAATTACGGCTATCATCAGGCGTATTCACCGTACGGCATGTATCCCCAGCAAACACCACCACCCACGCCACCACCTTCGGCCAATTGGAATATGTATGGTCATCATCAAGGCACGGCGAGTACAGTCACAGGCACTCCATATTCCTCAGCTCCACTACCACCCTCAGCAACTGGACCCATACATCAAAGTGGCCAAATGCTCAATTCAAGTCCTATGCTACCAGTTCAAACGTCACTGTCGAATGGCAACACGAATATGAAGGTAGCAAATGATGGTGGCGTTCTTACTCCTCCGGCAATGGCAAGTAATAATAACACACCACTCTGCGGCCAGAACACAGCATTATCGAATCCTCAAACCAGTTTAACTGATCTCAACAATACCCCGGCTTCGAATAACATCAATGTGGAAACTAATGCACCAGCAAACACTAGCGCAGGACTCACATCTCCCGATAACAATATTGTTAATGGGGGCAACAGCATGACAGCAGCTACTACAAACCTTACATCAGCATCAAATGACAATACAAGCATGAGTGCAACTACTCCCTCGCCAGTTTCGATGGCCACAGACTCATCCAATCCAGCCTGTCCCCCCACAAATAACAATCCCAATAAAATTGAACCAATTGGTGAAGTTACTGAATTTAACGAAAACCTTGAAGCTTTTCAAGATCCCCAAATGGGTGGTGTGGCAATAGCTTTAAATCATGGCAGTGTCTTGATAGAATGTGCCAAACACGAAATGCATGCCACAACTGCTCTAAAACACCCCAATCGTCACGAGCCGACACGCATGACTTTAATCTTTTACCAGCACCGTAATCTTAATAGAACCCATCACGGTATTGATGAGTGGGAGGAAAAGATGCGTGTGAAGAAGATCAACACCGACTTGGACAACAAGGCGAAAGAGGAGAAAGAAAAAATAAAAAAAGAACAAAACGTCGAAAACGAAGACGATGAAGAGGATGAAGATGCTTCCTCAGCAGCAGTTGCAAATGCAGCAGCCAATAACACCGCTTCAACGAAAGCAACACCGCCAAAAAAGGAAGTTAATACAAGTGGTAGTGGTAATGGTAAAGGCGGCAATGGAAGTGGCGGCGGCGGAGGAAATGCACCCTCCGGCGGGAAAAAGAAAAAAGAATCAGCTAAAAAAAATGGTCAAAATTCGCAAAACAATAACAACAACAACAGCAGCAATAACAATAGCAACAACAATGGCAGTGAGCCAAAAAACGAGAAAGTTGCCCTCCGAGCACCCACATTAACAACAACTTCGTGGACAACCCTGTTTCCTATGCACCCATGTGTGGTTACGGGGCCTTATCAGGAGGGCAACAGTAGTCCAACGTCCACAACAGTTCAACAGCAGCAGCAGCAACAACAACAGCAGCAAATGCTCGAACAAACACCACAACAACAGCAATTGCAGCAACAACAACAGCAGCAGCAACACCAACAGCCTATGCAAACATAAATTTCCATTAAAATGGAATGATTTTCGTAAGAAATCCAAACTTCAGAGAGTTATCGAAAGCGTAAACAAACCAGTGATTTCCCGCTTTCACTTTCACAACATTTTCGACTGAATTTTTTTTTGTTAAACATTTTCCAATTTAGGTCTTTTCGACTTTTGTGCCATAATATTAAATAATTAATACTAAATATTTTTATTCAATTATTACTTGTAAATTTTCTTGGTTTTTGACGCGATGCGTCGTATGTTTTGTTCGTTTCTTCATTGTTAATTAATTATTTGTTTGCAAACGATTTTTGACATTTTTATTTTAGCTAAATAATAGAAGTTCATTTTCCAATTAAAGCCAAACCATCGATTGAGTAGAGTTAAAAGACAGGCAGGTTTTTTTAGAGAAGATCTTGCCCTGTAGCCAGCCTGAAATTTATTATAATTTAACCCCTTAACTGACTGCTGGGTAAAAACGGAACCATTTTAAGCATCACTTATAAACAAAGACATTTATTACATAGAAATATATATAGTTTTAAATTCATTACATAAATACATAAAAAATATATATAAAACGCTTTTTAACAAAATAAAATATTTAATTAAAAATAAAACAAACAAAAAACTACTAAACAAAAATATTATTAACGGAAATTTAAAATACAAAAACACAGTACACACGAATTTTGTTTTTTCTTAAGGATTTTATTTTTAATTTTTTTTCATTACACAAAAAAACAACAGCAAAATAAGAGTGATTATTAAAACATAAAAATACAAAAAAATAAAAATAATTAAATTCAGTTGTAACCTAAAATTAAAGAAAAAAATAAAAAAAGTTAAAAAAAATACTGTTAGAAAAAGATCATTGCCAAAAGTACAAAACAAAATAAAAAAAAAAAATAAAACACAAACATGAGAAAAAAATAATATTACTAACAAAAAAATTAAATTTTTTTAAAAAATCTCGCTACTTTAAAACCAAACAAATACAAAATAAATTAAATAAAATATTTTTTTAGATCATCATCACAAATTACGAAACAAAATACAAAAACTGTCTGGTAAATAAACCAACTAAACTTTTCTTGGTTAACTAATGCAACAACAACAACAAAATAAATTAATTATTTTACTTACAAGCGCAAACAACTTACTATAGCAACAAAATACAAACAAACATACATATTTCTATGTTAAATTATGATTTAATTCTTTTAAGCAACTGCACTTTAAACAGTAACAAAGTAATAGGAAATGAACAACAGGAAATAGTTTAAATTTTTAGTTTTTTTTTTCTTTTGTTAATAAACTAATGTTTAAGATATAAAGGGATTAATAAAAGATTCAAATATATTGAGTTGCATTTTAGTTTGCAATATCTTGCAAATGTAATTAGTTGTCATTGCAAACATTGAGACATTATTTATAATTGCACTTAAATAAATGTATTGCCAAAGACATAGCAAACTACCGTTGCAAACTACCATTGCAAACTTTACAAAAATCTCGCATAAATCATGACAACAAAAAATACAAAATAGTGATTTGCTAAATATTACCACATTGCAATATATAGCAAATGTAACTAGTTGTCTTTACAATATAAAACAACATTTGTCACTTTCTCATTATTACTTCATTTTCGACATATTGACGAGTCTTATAAAAACAAACATTGCTAAAATGCTAGATCATAAAATGTAGTATGTAGTGCTAAATAGTTAAAAAACTACCCTTGCAAACTTTGCAATAATCACGCAAATCACTAGATCAATACAACAAAAAGTACGAAATTGTGAATTGCTAAAATTAATCACATTTGCAAGACTACAAATAATTGAATTCGGTAAAAGAAAATTTTATGCCATTATAGTAAATTTGCAACTCTTGGAAGTTTAAAGGAAAGAAGTCCCGATACATATTTTAAACATTACTTTATTTACAATTTATTTATTTATTTATTTTTTTTTTTTTATTAAAAATTTTCATGAAATTCTTAATTTTAGCAAAATTTTTGTTTATGTTTTAAATTTACTAAAATTGGACAATTTCTAAGATTGCAAACTTATTTTTAAACATTTCCTTCGCAAAACAAATGTTTAACAAAAGAAGTCACAAACTTACTCACAAACAAATCCAAAATTTTTAAAATTGTAAAAATAAAAACAACAAAAAATTGTATAAAAACTTAATAAAAACATTTTCACAGTATAAGTAAAAAAAAACATTAAAACACAAAAACAACTGAAGAAAAAATCATAAATACATAAATAAATATTGATTATTTTAAACATCACATTAAAAACAAAATATTTATACATGAAAAACAATTGAAATTGAAAAGAAATTAATTAATAATAATTAAGACAAAAAACATTATTAATATTTAATAACATTAATAATGGCATAAAGACAACATTTAGGCACAGCAAACAAACCATTTAAAAAGAATAATAATTAAAAAAAAATAATTATTTTTTTTAACAGAAGGGAGACATTTTTTATAGTTTGTAAGTTTAAAATTTAGTAAAAAAAAACAAAAAAATTAAAGCAGTTTAAGAGAATGAGAAATGTTTAAAGAGAAACAAGCAAAACAAACAAACAATTTAAGACATTTTTTTATTTAATTTTTGAATTAAAAATTATATATTTAAATATAAAAAAAACAAATACACACAAAAAATAAATTTAAACAAAAAAAAACATATTATAAAAGTTACAAACCTAAAACTTAAATTAAAAAACAAAAAACACTATACATTTATGCCTAAATATTTATTTTACAAAATATGCTCTAAAATTTAAGAAAACAAAAACATTTTAAAATTAAGTCATACAACAAAACAAAAAACTAATAAAATAATAAGCATTTTTATGAACAAACGACAAAAAACAACAAGAAAAAACTTTAATTAATTTAGTTTATTTAAATTTTAAATTTTTTTTGTTAAATAAAAACTGAATTGATAAAAGACTCAAAACCATGCAAGTATTAAGAAGAAGAAAAATGCTAACAGAACAAAAATATTATTAAATTGTTTTTAACAAATTATAATATTGTTTAAATAATTTCTTTAAATGTTACTAAACAACAAAAACAAATACAACTTACTCAACACAAAATATAGAAAAAAAATAATTAAAAAAAAACTCACAATATATAAAAAGATCTGCCATCCAATTCATAAACAACAAAAAAAAAATAATAAATAAAATGAACATAAAATAAATTTAAAAAAACACACACACAAACAATTGCATGATTTTATTTTTCTTGTGTCTAAATAATAAATCAAATTGTTTATTTGCTTAATAAAATTTATTTTTATAAATATTTAAAAAGAAAAAAAATCAAAATAGTTTTTAATTCATTTTAAATTTAATCCTCATCATATTGTCACTGTCATTTGTCATTGTATGTCATTGTCGTCTCTATATCTGTCAAGCAAACAATCGATAAATGTTTAAAATAAATTTCTAGTTTAAAAATTATTATTATCGTTATAATTTAGTTGATATATTTCTACTTCTGCAACTTCTTATTTTACTTTAATTTTATAATGATTATTATTGAAAATATTTAATACTTTAAACTTTAGTTTTATCTACAAATGTATTTTAATTTTTTTTTTTTAAAGAATTTCTTAAAAAAAACATATTCTCATAATTTTATAAGTTTTATTTTAAATTTATCTTTTATTCATAAATATTTTCTACAAAACACACAAAAAACCTACACATAAAAATAAAATGAAAAAAATAGCTGAGTAATAAATATTTTCAATTATTTAAATTATTATTAATTAATGATTATTATTTTTTTATTATTATAAATCATAAAACTATTCGTTTTTTAAACTATTTTTTTTTTAATATAAACAAAAAACCCACAAAAAGTTATATAAATAAATTTTAATTTTTAAATATTAAACAAAAAATATATAAAAAAAAATTGTGTTTTATTTTTTTCCCTTATTTCCTTTAAAATTCAGTTTTTTAATTCCAACAACAACTATACATACGTATTTAAAAAAAAGTAAAAACAAAAATACATATTTGAGTATGCTCCAAATATTTGTTTTTCAGTAAAGTATAAAATTAAATTTAAAAAAAAAACAAAAAGATCAATATCAATATTGATGAAAAAAATAAAATGATATACCATTGCTGGATTATGCAAATGCGAAAAATGTGAAATAATTTAATTGTAAAACATTTGAATAAATAAAATATTACCAAATAAAGACAAGAAAAAAAACATAAATTATATTTATTTAACATATAAATAATAAAATTAATAAAAAGAAAAACAAGAAATAATAAAAAACATATATGGGTTGCACTTTATTTTTGGATCCGATGTCAGTAGAGGTAAATAAGGATACTCAGTTGCTAATTTTATTTTAAGTTATCCTTAAATTTGGTTAGTTTATCAACGAAACTATTTAATTGTTTGAACTAAATGATCTTTTACAGACCACAGCACAGTGGACCAAATGCCTAATCTGGCGCGCAATAGTGTTTTACTCGACTCAGTAAGCACTTAGATATCTAAAATTTGGAATGTGGCTAGAAAATTAAATGAACTACAATATCGATGGAATGGGAATAATATTTAAAACGCATGACACATATTACAAGTGTGTCAAACTACAATATAATGAAAGAAACCTTTTACTGCACATTTCCTGTATATAAACTTTGTTTGAAGTATCCGATTTACTTAAAATATTCGGAGATTGTTGAAGTATTTCTCGTCGGAAACTTTTTGTTCTGAATCTTGTAGGGGGCGAGCTGCCATGCCTACATACAAAATTTATATTAAAAGTAGTATATATGAGAAACAACATCAGATAACGTTCTTAAATGTTACCCAAGAACCATTAACATCTATGCAAATGCTTGAAGAAAAAATGGGCGGACTATTAATAGTGGGCGCGGCACCTTCCATATGTTTTAAATGTGTAAAATTATTATATCTATGAAACTATAACTTCTAGAGTTCTAAAATTTTGCAAAAGTAATCTTTGGCATCCATATTAACTTTTGCAAAAAATGGGCGAACTATTAGAAGTATGCATGGTACGCCAGAAATGAAAAAATAATTAAATCTGAGAAACTATAACAATTAGAGTGCTTAAGTATTGTACTGTATACGATCAGTACTACACAGTATACAATAAGTATAAATCTTTAAAACAAATATAGGTGGACCGTCAATAGTGGGAGTGGCAACTCCCATATGTATTAAATACTAAAATTCGTATATCATAGACACTATAACAGCTAAAGTTTAAACTTAACACGAAAACGGTACTACCAGTTGTGGGCAGCACCCAGATGAAGTCAATACTCAAATTCATATGTATATCTGGGAAATTATAACACTTACAATCGGCATTTTCTTTTAATAAATCACAATTTGGCAATTTTTTATAATTAGCTTCGAATTTTTTCCGCAGCCTATTCACACTTGCAATTCTAGCAAAGATCATGAAGAAATTTTTGGACAATTTGCTTCAATTTATTGTAATTATCACTAAGTGTTCATTCATGATTCAATTTTTGCCATTACATATTTAATAACGGTGTCAAATTTATTTTTTTGACATGAGTACTTATTCAAAAA